GTCTCTCTGGTTTATTTTTTTTCAGTTTTATTCTAGGAAGGCTAATAATCTAGAAAAATAGAAAGCTTGATGTTGTCAAAAATTGTATGGTTTTAGAAATTTGATTTTCGTCTTTGTTTGGATGGTATTAACAGTAAAAAAAACGGATGACGTCACAAGTTATGACGTAACAAAACTAATTTTAACGCAATAAAACTAGAGGGATAATTTTTTATTCCGATTTTCTTCTTTATTTTTGCTTTAGTCATCTGGCACATCACATGTGTAACATAGCCGCATTTGCTGGAAAAAAATTATGGCTCCAATTTGGGGATTTTTCTCAAGAGGGGGACCCCATATTTTGCAGAGTTATTTTTCACATTTAAAAATGCCATATTTCATTTAATTTTTGTGATATGGACAAAATTTTTTTAGGTTTCAACTCCCCTTGATGTGCTCTTTCTAACACATTGTAAAGAATATGCATATTAAAAACTTCAAAAGTGGCAAAAAACATGACGTCATCACTGTGACGTCACAACTTTGACATTTACTGACNATTTTTCACGTAAATATAATTGGCAATAGGTCTCCTGCTCATCTGCCAAGTTTGGTGTAGAAAGAGTCAATACTTTTCAAGTAATGCGAAATAATGTGACATACCCAAGAACTGACGAAACATTTGGGGGGTGGTTTGGCCCCTACGTGTGAAGTAAACCCAAAGCCTAAGTAATCACTCCGGTCAATCACAAAGAAAGGAAGAACATCTAATGAAACAATAAAAACTACAAATACAGGAAGCCAACGTAAAGCGCAGGAACACCTCTGCCAGAAAGTCTTGATTTCTTTCGGGTTTTTCTCTGATTGGATGAAACATAAAAGCGAGTTTTCTTTTTTTAACAATTAATGAGCGAGGTGATGCAAAACCAAATCCATGGCGAATTACTTTCCACACTCGAGTCATAACAGCTGTGGCAATATACCTTTTGGTCCAGGGGGTCCAGGACGCCCCATCAATCCCAGTCCATAGTTTAGACCGTCCCGTTCTGAAACAGAAAAAAAGAAACAGCGGCTGAAAAATCTAGATGCCAGTCAAATATATAGCAATACATGCTCTGATAGGTTATAAATTGTACGCACCTTGAAAGTACTTGGCCAAGAACTTAAAATTAGTCCTGGGTTGGAGCAATGCTTCCACTCTGCAGAAATGTAATGTAACAAAGAATAAAGACGTTTCTCTGGTTAAAAGAAACTAATAAAATCTAAGAAAGATAATTCTTAAATTCTTGTAGTTAGTGCAAAACTATTAAAACAGTAACAACTAAAATAATTCATTTCCACAAAAAACTCTAACAAATACCCATATCTCACTATAGAACAACGAACTGATGAAAACTACACTTAAGTAAAGCAAACTACACTCACCTGATAAAAAAATACACTCAACTGATACAAACTACTCTCAACTAAAACAAACTACACTCAATTGATACAAACTACACTCAACTGATACAAACTGCACTCAACTGATACAAAGTACTCTCAACTGAAATAAAATAAACTCAATTGATACAAACTACTACAAACTATACTAAACTGATACAAACTACACTCAACTGATACAAACAACGCTCAACTAATACAAACTATACTCAACTAATACAAACTACACTAATACAAACTACACTCAACTGACACAAACTACGCTCATCTGATATCAACTATACTCAACTAACACAAACTAAACTGACACAAACTACCCTCAACTAATAAAGCATCAACTCAACTAAAAAACACTACACTCAACTCTGAATACAACCTACACTCAACTAACACAAACTATCACTCATCCAATACAAACTAAGCTCAACTAATACAAACTACACTCAATTGACAAACACTACACTCAACTAACACAAGTAACAGTTGCCTTATCCAAACTACACTAAAATAATACAAACTACACTCCATTACTAAAAATTTCACTCAAATGACTCAAACTACACTTAACTGGTAAAAACTACACACAACCAATAAAAACTATACCCAACTTACACAAACTACACTCAAAAAATAAATTTCAAACTACACTCAACAGACAAAAACTACGATCAGCTGATACAAACTACACTCAACTGATACAAACTACACTCATATGATACAAACTACACATAACCGATACAAACTACACTCAACTGATACAAACTACACTAAACTGATACAAACTACACTCAACTGATACAAACTACACTCAACTGATACCAACTACATTCAGCTGATACAAACTACATTCAACTGATACAAACTACACTCAACTAATACAAACTACACTCAACTGATACCAACTACATTCAGCTGATACAAACTACACTCAACTGATACAAACTACACTCAGCTGATACAAACTACGTCCACTGATACTATTACACTCAACTGATACAAACTACACTCAACTGATACCACTTACATTTAACTGATACAAACTACACTCATCTAACACAAACCACTATTAACTGATTCAAACTAAACGCAACTGATACAAACTACACTAAACCGATACAAACTACACTCAACTGATAAAAACTACACTTAACTGGTACAAACTACACTCAACTGATAAAAATTGCACATAACTGATACAAACTAAATTTAACTGATACAAACTACACTCAGGTGATACAAACTACACTCAACTGATACAAACTACACTCCACTGATACAAACTACACTGAAATGATACAAACTACACTCAACCGATACAAACTACACTTAACTGATACAAAACTACACTCAACTGATACAAACTACACCTAACTGATACAACTTACATTTAACTGATACAAACTACACTCATCTAACACAACCTACTATTAACTGATTCAAACTAAACGCAACTGATAAAAACTAAACTCAACTGTTACAAACTACACTCAATTGATTCAAACCATACTCGACTTATACAAACTACACTCAACTGATACAAACTACACTCCGCTGATACAAAACTACACTAAACTGATAAAAACTACACTCAACTGATACAAGCTACATTCAGCTGTAAAAACTTTGTTCAACTGATACAAACTACACTCAACTGATACAAACTACACTCAACTGATGCAAACTACACTCAACTGATACAAACTACATTAAGCTGATCCAAACTACACTCAGCTGATACAAACTACACTCCAATGATACAAACTAAACTCAAATGATACAAACCTCACTCAGCTGCCACAAAATACACTTAACTGATACAAACTACACTCAACTGATGCAAACTACACTCAACTGATGCAAACTACACTCAACTGATACAAGCTACACTCAGCTGAAAGAAACTACACTCAAATGATACAAACTAAACTCTAACTGGTAGTAACTTCTTTCTTCTAATTTAGAACACATTTTGAAAGTAATGTTGATTCCTGTCTAATTCTTGTGTAAAGGACGGATATACAAGTAGGAATTTTTGTCCTTTTGCCACCCTCTTTGGATTTTTTTTGAATTTTCTTAATCAAATATCTTTTGATAGGGCATCGTGAAGACAAGTATCGACGTTTAGAGATTATCTAAATTGTTTTCACTCTATCTGAGTGAGGGCACATGATGAAACTTAAATTTACCTTTGGTAATCTGCACCCACGTTAATCTTTAGATTTCTGTCTTTTAGAAATTTTTATTGAGTTCTTGTTATAGTCCAAATATCTAGTCAGTATTAATAGAAAATTCTAATTGTTTTTCTGTTTTTTGTTTTTTTTTGTTTTTTGTTTTGAATCTGGTCTATCTTTTATGAACGCGCTTTTTCCCTAGCAAGTGTTTTATTTATTAAGTTTGAAACGTACCCAGCTCTTACACACTTAAATCAGCTGTTATTAGTTATTACTACGTTACTCCTTTCGAGTATTAAGAATCAAATTTTAAACAGTAAAATTTCCGCAATTGGTTCATTTTTTTCATTATGAAGGGACTTATCCGTAAAGAGAACAATGTGCGCTTGTGGCAATTAAGAATTTTTTTTGGATTTGTGTTGCGTTGAATTTTTTTTTTCACTTTATCCTTTGAAAATCATAAAACTGATATACTTACTTTTGCTCCAGGTCTTGTAGTCGTTGTAGAATATCCTCCGTCGAATTTCTTTTAACGGCTCTACGTTCTCGTAGTGGCTGGCCGCGTTTCTCAGCAATCTCCATACCACCGATGAAGTTTTGATCTTTTCCTCGACGAGTTTCCTCCATGGCAGAAATGCTGTGAAAGGCAACGGACATCACGAGCAAAGCCGCGAAAAGTACGCCGCCAAGAGATGTGCGGGAAAATGTCATAGCCAAAACTGATATTTCGTAACCTTTGCTTAAAAATGCACCGACTTTCAGTTGCGTTTACCTCAACAAAGCTGAAGTCAAAAAATCAATACCTTCGACGCGATGGGTAATTAGGTAAGAACAATACATTAGGTCATCGGCGAGAAATTTTTCGCGTTCGTTATTACAAGCCAATTACAATGAAAAACAAATTTTCATATTATTATTTAGATAAATTTATAAATATTGTGTTACTTGTACTACATGATTCATAGGACTTCTTTTTTTCGGTTATAAATGAAAAAGCTCAGCTATGTCTCTACATTGTTCCACTATGCTGAGGAACTGTAATACTGAACTAGTCGAGTCCTAAACAGACCACAACCGTTAATGATATCACATTTGAACCGCAATTTGCCTTTCTGGTAGAGACAAATATATAGTCACGTTCCTGTCCAAGGGCTATTTTAACCTAAATTGTAAACATCAATTGACTTGTAATTATCATGTCACATCGGTCAGTGGCAGGTACATCTCTGGAAAGTTACATCATTCAAGTTACCATGGAAACACACTTTGAATGGCGGAAAATTACTCTATCCCATTCAATTAATCAGCCCTGAGTCGATTCTAAGTGGTTAAAGATTGAAATTCTTTCGAGAGTAACACATATCAAGGACGATCTTTGACTACACGATCGGAAAAGGAGAAAACGGTAGTCTAGAAGCGGAAAGAAGCCTCAAAAATGTCAATAAAGTTATGTTGTAGATTACTTCGCGAGTAAGAAAGCACACGTTTTGTTTTTGTTTTGTTTGTGTTTGTTGTTGTTGTTGTTTCTTTTTTTTCTCATAACACCCGGATAACACCAGTTTACAACTAGTCGACAGAATTCCCCGGCAGGAAAAGTCTATTTGATTTTTTTACATATTCACCAAACATCTAGTAAAGGAATTGGGATTTTACCTAGGCTGCTGCTCATCGTTCTAACCCAGGAGGGACGACGGTCACAATCATACAAAACGCAAATATAGCACAATAATACTTAAGATCGATATCAGCCCGCTTCACCATTAAGTTAATTTGATTATCACCACATGCAGGTATACTGATCATCGTTGACACGTAAATTGTAATAGTTGCAAGCTAAAAGTCTAGATCTATTATGTCTCTCAATCAGTTATGATGACACTTTTCACCGAGGGATTCAGAGGATTTTGTCGGGATTCTTTCATATCACAATGAGGCATTTGCGACTCTCCCTTTATTTCATTATCTCATACGCACCTTAAGGAACATTTTGCCCTCGATCACTTGGCGAAGATCTCGAATATTGTCAAGCCTTTTTATAGAATTGAACCTGAAATTGTTCATGGCACATATATGTACACAATTCCGTCAGTGGATACGTTCGATGGCTGTGCACATGCAGTTTCTAATTTTAAGGTGTTTTTTCTCTATCTCTACCACAGCTATACGCCTGGGATGTTGACACAAAAAAATCTGTTTAGAAAATGAAATTATAACCCTTTGCTAGTAGCGGTGTATTCATCATTCAGCTTAATTGCATTCGACCTGTGCTAGGCTCGTTTTTTTATCGATCCTAACTTTATGCAATCGCTGATATAAATCGATCGTTTGATTACTTCGCGTTTGTCTTTTCTTAGCCGGCTCAAAAAAGAAATAAATAAATAAGTAAATAAATCAGCGAGAATATGCACCGCAGCGTGTACTTTTAGCTTATTGACGAACTATGTTGTGTTGTTGACAATGCAGCTGAGTGAATGCCAACGGTGTCGACCAAGATTATGTCTACCTCAAAACTGATCAGCCTAAAGCAAAACGAAATATTTATAAAATGTAGTGGAATAATTGCCTTTTTTTATGTACAAATTGGCAACTCCCCCCATTTTACAACTGTTTGAAACTTTTTTCAAACTGTATAGCCTCTAGCGAAACAGAGAGCGTATTCTGTCGGATCTCCATGTTTTTAATATTTTTGATTGAATGAAAAAGCGAGCTACTTCCTTCAAACGTTGAATTAAATCACGAGGATCTTGGTAAAGTGTTTTGATGTGCGATCTTGTAAAGCTAATTTTAACTGCCGAACGTGAAAGAACAACGGCAGAGGGAATTCTGTCCAGCAGTCCCTAAATGAATTAGCTTAAAACATTGGTCTATGATCGTAATGGCATTTCTTGCCATTGCGTTACCTGACTGAATGCAAACGAGAGACAGAAGTGTCATCAGTTGAGATGAATATCAAATGAGCAATTGATTTTAGCTGTTTCGTCAACTTTTTACTGGCAATAAAATTCTTGCAGTTGTGTTCCATGTTGATTGGTATCCTACTGCTGTGAAAAAACTACTATGACTGTATTATCTGCTGACTGACGGTTTGAAAACTGGCAAGCACTGTTTGTTGGTTTCAAAGGAACGTTCAAACATAAGCATGCCGCAAATGGAAGATACAAAGAACAGTTTAGAGATTCCCCATGATATTATTTTCATCTACTGTCTTGGTACTTTTTTGGCGGAAGCGGTTTCAGGCCTAGGATTCCGATATTTTCGTTTCACTTTCATGGGTTTCATTCATTCTTTCGAATATTTGGATCATTTATTTACTTTTTCGCAGGTGTTAATGAAAAGTAATCGTGTGAAAAAGCGAAAATGGCCAAGAAATAAATCAATTCACGTACCTTAATCATCCTTGGGTTCCATACAGTTCTCCTCCACCCTTGCAGATTGATCTGGAGCTATAATGTCCCTTGTTCAGTGTGCTGCGAAACTCGAGACGCCGCTGTACTGAATGAGTCTGATCCCTCGCTGGTCGCGGAAAAAACTTTCGAATTCTGCTCGAGCTTACTTATTTCGATCGTTCACATTCAAGTTAATAAACATGATTCCAAGTAGAAATCCCACAACGCAGAAGAAGAACAGAAATAATAAGACGAAACGCGAAACGCGGTCATCAAACCGTTTTTCTGAAAGCGCCATAAACACAGTTTGCGCACTGATTCAGCTGATACATTGACTTTTAAGAATAGAAACGAGCTAGTGTGTTTGCTCAATAATGTAAAGCATTTATGCAAAATTACTCACTAGACGGATTAAAAACCTGACACCTATTGTTTGTGTTATGTACCTTTAGATTGAGTGCAAATATTTTTTCTTTTCAGTCTCGATGCCTAAGCTTATTTGATTCTTGTTTGATTCGGTACCATTTGAATGTTATAAGATCAAATAATTTTTGCAACTGGTTGTTTTGAGGAAAACGAAACAACGCTCTTAAAAAATGTGGGTTGAAAATTAGGCCGGGAAACGACGTACTGTTGACAAAAATTTATAGGTCCCTTACTTTAGTTTTTTTATGTATAAAATTTGGAAGGAAAGCGGAGAAGATGAATGTGCGCATGTCCTTTATTTCATTTACTCAAAGGAAAACTAATGGTGTAGCCCTTGAAGTAGATTTCTTTGGCTTTCCCACAAGTTCTGCATATTAGATAGACCATGAAATGAAATAGAACCTATTTGCAGTCTATAGTTTCAGAAAATTAGGATCTATAAGGAAAAAAAAAGACTGGGCTAGTTTTATTTTATTCCGCGAACCAAAAATACGATCTAGAACCTGGCGTTCTCAGCTGGTTGCTTGCAAGTCGAATGTCTTATAATTACATTATTTTTTGAACTTTTTAGGTCTCGTAACTTGACGCTGACGATGTTACAGTGGTCTATCCTGTTTTATCAGAATTCTGCTAGTATACCAATGCGACTGAACTCTTAATATGATTGGTTGAACTGTTCCTACAGTATCATGGCAGCATTTGTGGCTGGAGACCGTCCACACAATGACAGAGGGCAGATTGACCGTCTTGCGACTTTAAAACCTCAAAATTTTGCAATGAACTGAGGAGTTCATAGTTTCAAACTGAACAATTAATCCAGTCCGCGCGATTTTGCTAAAAAATACTGCGTTGAGAAATGATTGGTCATAATTATGAAGGAAATTTACTAGAGTTCTACTTAAAAAAATTGGACTACATTAGACTATTTGCTCGAGAGTTCAGAGTTGTATGATGTGCTGGTCGATTCTTCCTTCGAATTCATCAACTATCACCTCATACAAATCTCGAGCTCATAACAACTACGACCCATAAATATTACAAAAACTAAGCAATTTCTACTTGGTAAGTTCATGTTAACCGTTCTCTGCAAGAACTGAAATACTAGGAAATATAAGGCATTATCTTTTTCTCAAGCATCTGAGCGGGCCAGAATCCTAAATCCTCAAATTTGATTGGCTAATCATACGCACGTGACCGGTCCAGCTTTTTACGATACGGCCCACGGGCCGGATTTTTTCTTCTCTGCCTAAATTTCGCTCCTAAAAGTTAGCGGTAACCGTCAATCTTTTGCCTTTTTTACACATCCATCGACGATTAGTCGACGCAAGTTTATCTCTGTTCACTTTAAAATGGCAAGGAAAGTCACTGTAAGTAAATTCAATTGAGTGTTTAGAAGTTGTGAGAGTTTGCTTAATTGTTTGTAGCTTGGCTCTGT